TGATAAATATGAGTGACATATGAACCACTCGTAAGAGATGCAACGTTTACGCATCGCGTGATGCAAGATAGTGAGATTGCTGTCAAATTTATATATATACGAGGGTAGTCCCAGAAATACCCGGCCTAACAAAGAAAACATAAAAATTTTGAAAAAATATATCTTTATTTCTCAACATAGTCTCCTTTTAGCTTGATACACTTTTCCCAGCGATGTTCAATAGCTTCGATACCATGTTTATAGTGAGAACCATCGAGTTCCTCAAAATAGCCATCAACCGCAGACTCCATCTCTTCATTGTTAGCAAATCTTTTACCACCAAGCCATTTTTTCAAGTTTGGAAATAGATAATAATCTGAGGGGGCTAAATCTGGTGAATAGGGTGCGTGAGAAAGCAATTCGAACTTTAACTCATTGATTTTGGCCATTGCAATAACGGACGTGTGAGCCGGTGTATTGTCATGATGAAACAACACTTTCTTTTTCGCCAAATGCGGACGTTTTTTCTTGATTTCATCACTCAAACGCTGCAATAAGTTCGCATGATACTCGCCGTTGATTGTTTTTTCTTTTTGAAGATAATCAATGAAAATTATCCCACGCACATCCCAAAAAACTGACGCCATAACCTTGCCAGCCGATGGAGTTGTCTTCGCCTTTTTCGGAGCCGATTCTCCCCTTTCAGTCCATTGTTTCGACTGTTCTTTCGTCTCAGGTGTGAAATGATAAACCCATGTTTCATCCATGGTTATGAATCGACGCAAAAACTCGGCCTTATTACTGCGAAACATCGCCAAACGACGATTGAAACATCCTCACGACGCTGTTTTTGTTCAATTGTAAGCAAACGCGGCACCCATCGTGCGCACAGCTTTTTTCATGTCCAAATTTTCAGTCAATATGCGATGTACAGCACTTTTTGATATGCCTACCATGTCAGCTAACTCGCGCACTTTCAATCGACGGTCATCCAATATCATTTTGTGGATTTTCGTCACCATTTCTGGCGTGGTCACCTTATTTGGTCGACCACTGCGATGTTTGTCT